GTTGATATTTCATCGAAAACGGATTCATTCTATGTTGTTTCCTTTTAAACAAAGCATTATAGAAACTTTTCAAAATACTCCGTATCTTTTGAATCACAGCTAAGTATCAGAATTCGTCGCGAAAGGAATGTAATGCTTCCTTCCTGAAATCCTCTTAAATCTATTATCATTATGATCCGAATCGTTGAACGACGTCACGAGTTCAGTTGGGAGATCGTATAAAATTCATCTTACTTATCATTTGTTAAATGAAAATCATTGTTTAATGTTCAAATTGTATATATCTTATAAAATTTTATTTATTAAATGAAAACGGTCCTTTTTATTAGTTACATTAATTATAGCAATAGTTAAACATCAGAGCAGCACAAAATTGGCACGAAGAAATAATTTATAGTTAAAGTAGTTGATATATTCGATTAGCGTTATTCGTCATCACTTCTAAAACAAGCGATGATGCTCAACGAATCTTCGATATTCAAATGCTTCATTGAAACAATCGTAATCGAACTCACAAATGTAATAATCACTGAAATTAAGAGAACTCCGAAGAGTTCTAGTACATTCAGCTTTCGAATCATGCGCACAACATCTAGGCGTATAGCATCACTTTGGTCTATAAGACAATAAATTATCAAATGAAGAAACGTTAACGAATCAACAAGCATCGAATGAACGGAGCTGACTTAACGAAAACGAGTCAAGCTCTTCGCATAAATATCAGTCAGCATTGAGCAAAAACTCAGAGGTCAAAATAATATGGCAGTATGACGAGCGATTACATATGTCGAATCGATGAATTTGCAGTGGTTCTGCCGTGTGATTCTGAGCAGTTAATGAAATCATAATCGTGATATGATGATTCAACTGCAAACGAAAGCGAATCACAAAAAGATCATCCAAACAAATAATTCAGCTATCTAGTTCGAAACGAGGTTGCTTTCTTGGTAAAAGATTGAATTGAGCCCACGACATGACTACTGAAAGAAGTGATAAGTAAATCTGTGAACAAGATCGTTCACTCTAAAGAGTGCGCTTATCAATTCAACACCACATAAGGATTNGGGATTCGAGCAGTTAAACGCCTCACACTACCAAAGTTTTAATTTTGGTGGATGGAGTATTGATGACCTGAGTCCATTGATCAATATTACTGTTATTTCGAATAATAACACAATGAATACAATTTGATATATGCGATCAAATGACAGCGATAACGAACGAACTTGACAATTTCAATAAATCACTAATGCTCAAGGAATACCAATCAGTAGGCAACCGATGCTCGCCAAGGCTTATCGGACTGATGATTTTTTGAGTTTTGACGATAATATTCTGTTGAATCGTACGTACGATTCGATTGCAGCATTTGACCTTTTTGCTTGTTTGAGAGGTCTCGTTTTGAAACGACAACATTTCGATCGTTACGATTGTTTTGATGATCGTGAATTGGATGGTGCAATGATGGAGGAGGTACATTCGAACACCCGTTGGCATGCTTAAATGATGAACGTTGAATTGTGCATACAGATCAATGGTACTCATACGGAGAAATCTCCCTCTGAGAGGGAATTTAAGGGCGCTGAGATGTGATCGAGAGGGATTAGCGAATTATCGTTAATCGTTGCTTCTTCTCATAAACTCCTCCATAGCTGCTCAATAACATTCTCAAAACGTGCGTTGAATTACAAAGATACCGCAGACGAATATTTGACAAAAAAAATGTTTTTTTTCAGTGAAACGTTCCGTGAAAGGGAAATTAATTATTCACACGACTACCTCAAATTTACGTAGTCGCCGTTCACTTGGACTCATTGTGGTGCTATTTGCGAAGTCATCCGTTGAACGAAAACCAAAATAACGATTGGTATCGTTGTTGTTGTTGTTTTGCGCTGACGATGTGTCCACAGAGATTGGCTCATAATCGTTGTAATCTGGTTGTGGTATGTACATGTTCGGTGACTCGGAACGTGGTGCGGATCGTGACCGATAACGTGAACCCATCTGAAGCTCGTTTCAACTTATCACTGATTTATCATAGCCATCCTGCTGTCTCTTCAGTGAATTACAATTATCCTCATATTTATCATAGTCATATCTTCGACGAATTCGCATCTTCTGTATTACCTACCATAGACATTATCAAATTTTCTCTTCGTTTTCGATTACTTTCATTTGTCCTCCAATTTGAACACTTTTTAAGCTGTTTAAATTTGCTCGGCAACGGTGAATGAAAAACTGACTTTCATAATGAAAATAGACTTAAAAAAATACCATCGCTTGAACATCATTTCCAGCTTGCTGCCCATAACGCATCGCAACATCGTCGAACATGGCCGCTTTCGAACGAACATCCGAACGGATCGAGTTCAACTCTCGTCGTGGTTCATTCTCTTCGAACGCTTCACTTGTTCGAATTGTGGATTGGACTCGTTCAGCGCCTCGATT